CCCTGCAGAGTTTAGATTCAACCCTAATTAAACACACCTGATCCAACTAATCAAGTCATTCAGGCTTATTTGAAAACTACATGAAATGTGTGTTGGAGCACGGTTGGAACAAAACTCTGCAGGGCTCCGTCCCTCCAGGAATTGAGTTTGACACCCCTGGTCTAGACTTTTAACGAGTGTGCCCCCCAGGACTGAAGTGACCCACTAGTGTTTATTGCACTACTGTGTTGTGATATCAGTGCCAAGTGTTTCTTAAAGGTAGGGTAGGCGATTTCGGAAAGGTTAGCAATAGCGAGCTAACTTTTGAAAGCAAGATCCCCACCCTCCCTGCATAATCACTCAAAGCCACACCTCCTCCAAAACACATGAACACTCACAGGGATACCCAAGACGTGTCACTCGTATAGTTTTGAATGGGGAAAAATTAAATGCTCAATATGGCTGCTCTATCAAAGGAAGCCCTGCCTTTTCAGTAAAAGAGCCAATCGCTAATCGGTAAAGTCATCGCGTCACTGCAGCTGCCATTAGAAGTCCCTGTTGCTATAGGGCAAACTCCAAACCGCTTTTTTGCGCCCTTGAAAGGGCACTTCGGGTACGGGACGCCATTTGTAGGGACGTTCCAAACGAAAGTGAACAACTGAATCCCTTCATGAAGGGCCCTTCCAGAAGTCGTTTAGCAAAGGGAACATGCGATGGTCACTTCACGGAAGTGATTTCCGTTTGTGATCATGTGATCTTTGGTTAGGAGATCGTGCGATGCATTTTAAAAGCAAAGTTGGGGTCGGTTTCGACTTCACATACAAACGTAAGTAGAATAGGCTAATTAAATTTGTCTTTATTTTAATGTAATACAAAATATTTTTGTCAGTGATAGAAATATGCTTTAATACGGTAGTGTAAGCAAGTTTAAACAAGTTAAGTTTGAAAAGATTTAATAGTAAATAAGACACAATTAGGCAATATTTGAATAAAATAAAAATAAGAAGAAATATTTATTTGCAACAACTGATAGAGTGCTGAATGCTGCACGCACACGCAGCATTATCAAGGTAACATTTGGTCAGTCATTTCCTTCACCAAGGGAGGTCCAAAAGAGACAGTAATGCCCTGCCTACACCCTTTAAAGAACACACTTCAAGGGCTCTCTCTGTCGATGGGAGTAGGGTATAGGGATGCTCACTTCGCCCATAGGGACTTTGCACAGGCAGACGAGATGCTGACCAGTGATACGATGAGAGATGGCATTGGTGGAGGTTTGAATGCATTGCTGTCAGATTACTTCATGTCTCATTCTCCGGTGAGAAAACATTACAGTACAAAGCGCGTAATATTACAATATAACGCCTTTCATTCTAGCTGGAATGCACTGATGACATATCATATCAGTGTTTCCCACAGGATTTTGTGAGACTGTGGTGGGTGGTCCTCGATCCCTCTAGGGGTGTCCGGGGGCATGCCCCCTCGTAAGAAAATTTTGTACATTTTAAAGTTAAATTCATAAATCTGGTGCACTTTGAATTAAGAGCTCCAAATTAAGAGCTCCAACACAGGTTCAGTGTGCAAAGTAAAAGAAAAAAGCTGGTGAATGTACTTGTTGTTGAAATTTAAAGGAGACTCAAAACTAACCTAAAAACCACTCTGCCAGTGGCTAATGACTTGAGAAAATTGTCCGGCCATAAATATTTTTCCTTGCCATTAAACTGTTTTTGCAAAAAAACGCAAATGCACTCTCTGACAGCATGTGGTGGTTATGGATCAGTAATGATAAGAGGGGAAAAAATGCCATCGAAACTTTTTTGAAGTCAGTTCCCTTCAGAAATACATTCATATAAACCCCAACCCCAATATTTATATTTTTCTAATGGAACAGTGAGCTTGCTGTACCTGTACAGTATTTTCTCTGTGTGCGTCTGTTAATTTTAGGCCATGCTTGCAAGAGATAAACCCTTGAGCTTTTATTTTGGCGGAAACTTCAGTTGAACTTTTATTTTGGTGGAAAACGTCAGCTTCTGTGAAAACAGGTTTACAAACATTACTAATTTAATGAAATACTGTAAACATTTGCCCATTAAAATGTTGAAAATTATGCAAATGTGCAAATTCTGCATAACTGGTGGCCGTTGCGTTCCCAAACGCGCTAAACTCAGAGCACATTCAATAACGGAGTTCACTGCATTCACTGTGAACGGAGCCGCTCTGAGACGCGGAAAACACCGGATCACGAGCCGATCGCGTGCGCTGCGCAATGTGTGCGCTTCACTTTGAAACAAGCAGCGCAAACAGACTTGATAAGTCATATTACGCTTTTTTTGTAACTTTCAACTTGTAAAATTAGGATGAGAAAAGTGTGAGTCGGTAATTTGAAATAAGGTGAAAAAAAAAAAAACCATGAGCGACGTCATCAGAAGCAGGGCGGAGTTGATGCACAAGCACGGTGATAATGGATACCTTCATGAGTGATATGAGTTATTATTGATTATTTTTTAAATAATATTATGAATGAACCGTCTTGTTGTTCAATTCAATAACGGAGTTCACTGCATTCACTGTGAACGGAGCCGCTCTGAGACGCGGAAAACACCGGATCACGAGCCGATCGCATGCGCTGCGCAATGTGCGTGCTTCACTTTGAAACAAGCAGCGCAAACAGACTTGATATGTCATATTACGCTTTCGGTTTTAATTCGTTTGACCGATACTTGCCAAAGCAATGGTGTGAAACACAACGTTAAAGAACTTTTATGTTATAAGTATAAATATATATTCGGTTTATTATGAAACTGTGGCGGGACAGATTAATGAATTCAGATTAATGAATCCCAGTTAATGAATGGGAAACACTGCATATATGCGCAAACAGGGTGCGTAGAGGTATGCAAATACATAATTTGACAGGCAGGCAGGACAGCCTATTGTAATATTAGGACCAAGCATTTTGATTGGATTTACATTTTATGGTCCTACGCCTTCCACAGAAGATACAAATAAATATAATTAAACTTAGACCACTTAACTTAGTGATTGCTATCGGGGTGTGAAGAGACTTTCAACCAGCATTAAAAAAAATGTTTTTGAACCAAATCACCTACCCTGCCTTTAACTGGTGGGTCGCGACAGTGTGCAGTCAAAGAAACAACAACAAACATGTTATGTTTTTCTAATGCGAGATTTTTATGGGCGATATGACCAAAATCTTATTTCACGGTATGAGAAATTTTATTTCACGATAACGATATATATCTCGATATAGCTATTTTTTTTGTTATTAAAAATAAGAAAGCGTCGGTTCCGGGTAGTACATTTTTGACATTTCTTGGTTCTGCACCAGCCCGGGTCCAACTTTCAAAATAATTTTTGGACCCGTGTAGACCTCTACTACTGATACTTTCTGCTCCACTCTTACGTCTTGTTTAGACACTGTCTGCCCCTTGTCTTCCAGGCCACCTTGTACCACCTCTTCTGCCCCTTGGCTATCTAGAGTTGCAGAAAGAGTATGGCGCAAATCATAAAATCCTACTGACCTTAATGTATATCGATCACTCCTCTCTTCATTCTCTGCTAATGTCTTCACTGCTAAAAGGACATACTATCACAACAAAATGAACAATTCGCCTAACTCTCGTATGCTCTTTAAAACATTTTCCTCCCTCCTTTGTCCTCCTCCTCCCCCTCCTTCATCAACTCTAACA